TTCTTGTCTGCACCATATATATCAGATAACTATAATTATAATCACCCACAACACGGGAAACAAAAAAAAGAAGAGGCAAAGCTGATATTTAAAACCTTGCTCAGCTCTGGCTTGAACAGCATCACAAATTTGTGTTGTCAGGTCAAAAAGTGTAAGCTTTGAAGCTGCTACCTCTTCACCTAGAATTACCTGCAAAAATGATATATAAAATGATATTAAAAGAGGTTAAAAAAGGAGGGAAAAAAAAAAGGTATACAATAGCTACATTGGACATAAATATTATAACAAGCAAAGAATACAAACCATATTTGGATGAGACTGGAGGGTGCATTCCAAAGCAACATGCGATGCCTTTCGACCCATGAGACGGATAAAATAATAATACTGGAAAGAGAAAAACGTTAGAAGCTTTTGGAAGATGAGTATCAAAGTCCAGTGCAACTAGTAAAACAAATATCAGAGTAAAACAAAGAAGTATTAGTTCATCTATAATGTAAAGTTTCTACCTTACAAAAGGAAAAAAGTTTAAGCTGAAAAAGTTCAATAATGATACATAATGCTCCTGCCTCTCTTAGAAGAGCCCTTCCACAAACCTAAGAGATGCCAAATCATGATAATTGCAATTACCTTCTCAGCAGAGAGAGCATCAGTGCACACATTGCTTATTAGCTGTGAATTGACCTGTGTGTAAAGAAAAACCATCAGTTTTCATACAATCTCCAAGCAATAGTGATTGCTTCTATAACTTTCATAATATTAAAAAATCAGTGAAGAGTATATATGTCATTGCAACACTCCAAATTTCATGTATGTATTAAAATATCAACAGACAACATCAATACCAATATTTAGTTAAGAGTATTCATGCCCAAGTTGCCTTTTCCCAAAATATCTTAGATCAGTTACTTCTAACCATTTTAAGAAGGAAAAAATCAAGACCATTTTACTTTCATAACTAAAACATTTTATAATTTCCAACTAATACCTTGCAGATTGTATCAAAACCAACATTGGTTTCCACAAATTGGTTCCTGAGATCTCCATTCAAAGTAACAGGAACACCAACCACCTGCAAAATTCCAATTGTACACGTTCAGTAAATAGAGGTGACTCTGAAATCACACCTAAAGAAAGTTACATACATTTCCAGGTCTATAATCAAAATGAGAGCATTAAAACAGACCACTAGTTCTGATATAGCGAAACCTATTTATATTTTTCTGGATTTATTCTTTAAAGATGAAAACAAAGACCATGAGAAATACCTTTGTTGGGCAATTTGCTTCGGCAAACGTTTCAGCAAGATAAGCAGCATCTGTGTTTGATGTTACCCCTTCAAAAGTACCAAATTTCCACGATTAAAAATATAAAAATATATTTTTTTTTGGCAACCAAATGCATTAATCCTGAAGCATCAGATTTACCTCCAATAATGACAAGGCCATCCAATTCTAGATCTTTGCATGCATTTAGTGCAGCCTTAACTTGCTCTGTTGTCCTGATTTGATCTTTTGTTCTTCCAAGCAAATCATAACCACCTAGTCAAGCAAAGTCATATTTCGAAGCTTGTTAGACTTCACATCAGATAAAAATAAAATATCTCAACAACACATTGCCCCATGCAACTACCTACCTTGATTTTTGTAGGTTGAAAGGATGTCATCTGTGATCTCAAGAGTCTTCTTTGCAAACAAACCTTCAGAACCACCTGTTGACAGAAGTAAAAAAAATCATCTTAAGAAAGTGACTATACTTAAAAAACAGTAGGTATGAATAAATCCAAATCAGATGCCAATATATAAGATTATTGAATAATGATTACATGTACATACCAAGTGTGATGTTGTAAATATAACATAGGGCATAGAACAAAATATTCAAACCAAAAAAACTATTAAACTATAGGGGGAAAAAATTATATATATCTATTAAAACGTTTTGGTCCTTGGACACAAATAAAGGACCTCAATTCTAGGTTTTATGCAAGTAAAAATCCTCAAAAAGAAAAATATTTCGCTATTCCACACAAGGTGCACAGCATGTTAGGAGTTCACGCAGATTTATTCCACATTCTAAAGGGTAAATCACGATACTGAGCAATTACATAAACACGTTACCATTAGAACACTTTAGCTTAAAAGAACTTAAATGCATAACTTAATGAAGAGCATTATCCAGTGTAACAATAATTACAACAAATAAGATAGGTCATGTGGTCAATGTGTAATAATGGTGAATAATGATAGAGGCACCCGGACCTCAGATCAAATAAATGTAGAAGTTTTATGATACTAAATAGGGATACACTTGCACTAGGGTTTAAAACAACTGTATGCTTGCTCATGCAAAAAAAAAGAAAAAGAAAAATGAAACTTACCCAAAAACCCCAGCAAAGTACTTTTAGGGTTGTGTAGTTTAATTGCATCGTAAAGGCCCCAAATGACATTGTGTCCACCAGGAGACTGTCTTCCACAGAAGACAATGCCCACCCTATTAAAGGAAAATTTATCCATCAGTCAAAGCAAATAAGATCACTTTTTTCCTTTCAACAGAAAAAATCACCAAATTCCACGTTAACTGCTTCAAATCATGGTATGCGCTATTTAAAGTAATTTAAGAGTGTTAGGTTAAGAAGTACAAATCACAGAAAAATTATTTATCATTATCAAAACAATCCCCAATGCTTTCTGGGGAGATCAAGATTTCAATAACAACTTATTGAAAGGTATGTATAAGTAATAATCAAATGCACACAGCACACCTAATAGCTGGATGCTCGGTTATGATTTGAGCATCAGGTACTTTTGCAGTTGCCCGAAGAAAGTGAGCCAAAGGCTGACCAAAAGTATGTGGAAAGGTTCGGCTTATGGTGTGGGTATCAGCTGGGTCAGCAGTTGTTGTTGAATCACCAAATTCCACCCTGACAGTAGTTCCCTGCAGAATTGAAATTTCAAAAAATAAGAACAATAAAATCAGCATATTTTCTAACAAATAGTCATAAATGCAACAGATAAAAATATCTTTTCTTCTAAAAAGAGATCTTCAAAAATGAAACAAATGCACCAAAGCATCAAATAGAGTATCTGCTGTGTTGAAAAGATGACAAGATGAGTAAGCACATAATAAAAGCCAATAGATGAAAGGTTAGTAAAAGAAAAACAGAAGTTATAAGTTTGTCAATTTACATCTTTTCGTGTCCATATACATGACAAAATTGACTATAGTATTTGATGCTTGATTGCACTAAAACTAAATGTAACTGGAAAGCAATGCATTAAAGAGTGCAACACTGAAACCGAAATATTGATATTTATTTATAATTTACAATAGCAACAAGATGCATGCGATCTCCTTATTTATTTATTTTTTTTTTTTTTTTTTTTTTTTTTTGCCAATAAAGACAAGATCTAACGGTATAAATCAGCCAAAACAATCGCCATCTCAGTAGATCTACTCTACAACCAAACCACAACAACCGAAACGACGAATAGAAAAACATTAACCCATCAAAATTCACCCAAAATAAAAATAAAATAAAAAGCCAAAACTTAGATTCAAAAAGAAAAAAGAAAGAAACAAAAACCAGAAATGAACGCTACAACATAAAATCATCGATATAACATACACCTCAAAAACAGAGTAAAACATATTAAACAGTTCAATAGCGATATGAATTAACCTGGAGGCATGGAGGAAGCTCCGGCTGGTGGTGAGATCGGAGTTTTTGAAGGTCAGAGAGTTCTCTGGGAATGCCGAAATCTGAGTCCATTGTTTTCTTCTTCTTGTTGTGTGCTCGTTAGCAGTGTTGTAGTTGGGGGTTTTGATTTATTTTTGTCTTTGTTTCACTATAGAGTATAAACCTTTAAAAGACCGTTTTTATAGGGGGGAAAGGACCCGGCGATACAACCAACCAAGCCCACCTGTTTTATTTTTGTGTGAACCCCTTGCCATTTAACCCTTTCTTTTATATATTATTTCTGATAAACCCACTGATTTTACATCACTGCCCCCAGTTTCATGAATTGGTTGAGATGTTTTGCTTTCCCTCGTTGGGGGCAAATTATTAACCCCCATGTTAACATGAATATAACTCTAATGCCATTTGCTAAGGATGAATTGCAATCTATAATACTGTAAAAAGTTGAAAAAACTTTCTATTACTAAAAAATAAAAAGTCAAGTTTAAGAAAAGAGTTAGGTCAAAATAAAAAATTAATTAAGGACAAATCAGTAATGACGCATCGTTGGTGAGACAGGAAAGCTGACTGGAAGATGTAAGGATAAGAAGTATCTTGTCATGCACATTCGGTGAATATGCTGAGAAGGGTAATAATGTAACTTAGGAGAAGCCCACTGACTTACCAGTACCAAACAAAACAAAACCTAACTAAAACGAACACTGGTTGTATCATGTATGAAGTCTGGGGGCATCCCTTTACCTAACCCTCTCCACATGGGCATGTTTATCGGATTTAATTTGATTTTGTCCTCTATTCGGTTGGCTAATTCCCATCCGTCAACATCAGCTTTAATTCCCTAAAACAGATGCTTGAAAATGACGAAAGTTTTCTAGATAGATAAAGAATCTGAGGATAAAAAAGTAAAAGCAACCACCAACTGGCACTGCAAAAGATGGCATCATGAGGCCGAGCGCACGACCCAGCAATCATAAAACTGAAAATATATAGCAATTACACCTGAATTTCAAATCAGAATCATCATCACCAATTCTAACATTTTTCATCTTTATATGATCAAATTTTCTTACGAACGACTCGAGTCTAGAGAATGTATTCCTTGCGCCAAAATTCTTGGGGATTTCAACTGCCATTCATTAGGTTTAGAGTTGGCCTCAAATTTCAATACGCTCGCTGGATTGTTGCTCAAGTCAGCTCAACTACCAACCAGCCCAAGGATTTGTGGATCAGATTCTGGTCAAGTGAATTATTCAAGGTGATGTATTGTATCTTAATTTTTTCATATTGTCAGAAATCTCCAACAGGAACAAAATTATAAAATATTACCTCATGAACCCAAATAAGAAACTATCAATACTATCATACAAAAATAACTTAAAACGAAAGCACAGAGAACAGAGTTCTATAACACATCATGGTTCTTATTGACAGCACCGGTTACTACTACTGTAGCATTAAAACTGCTCCCTAATATTTTAACCTTCACCATCCCCTCATAATAAAAGATTCGATAGGGGCACTAGTAAAGTAACTCTCATGCCAAAACTCTAGGAATATCATCTCTCATTTTCATCTTTGTCCTTGAAGCTTTGCATCTCCGAGATTTTAACACTGAGAATATCAAAACCTTAGTTCCTGCTCCTCTTGGAGCTAGATTTCCTGGAGCTTTCTCTTCCACGTTTTCTAGTGGAACCAACTCCAGATTTGTCTGGATTAGTGTGGGCAGGGTAAACAGGCACATGGTGCCCAGGAACCAAAGCAGGGAACCCAACAGCAGGGATTCTGCAAATCAACAAAGACCAACAATAATCAGAATACCTAAAAGATCACTGAATTAAAAGAAACACGTCAAATGAAAGCCACGAACAGTGAACTTGGTAACTAAATGAAACATAACTGGAATCATAATTTGGCAAAAAGCTGTACAAACTCAGTACTCATTATTGAATGACAATGGTATCGGCTGTCAATAAAACATATTTAAAACCATGAACATGCAAATACTTTCTAATTTATTTATTCTTTATTATTATTAATTTTACATTTGGAAGAAAATGTGCTTAAACAGAACAATGTTATGTGTAATAATGCCATATAATTAAGTTATATTGTATTGCAGAATTACACAAGCCTGAGAAGAATCAGAATCAACCCTAAATTAATGCAATCAGCAGCAAAAGAGAACCGTGTATATATTTATCTGATACTCCAATGAGCAAATAATCCAATAAAGATACTAATGACACAATAAGTATCAGAAATGAGCAAAAAGAAAAGGGAGATAATTCATGATTCATACCCAACAAGAGCACGGCAGACTCCTGCTTGGCCGAGGATGCACCAAATGCATTGCCCTTTTGTAAACTAAGACGAAGAGCTTGATTCTCTGCAACAACACACTGAAGCAACCGCCCCAGTTTCCTGCATTCACCTTCTAAGTACCTACTCTTCATCTCAAGATCCTTCACAAACATCTTCTTTCTCTCCCTCGATCTAACTGCTGCATCCCTATTTCTCAACTGCCTGGAAAATCATATCAATTACCAAGCACCCCTTTTAATTCTCATTCCCATACAAATCAGATAGCATTTAATTTTCCAAATTTATACATTATTAAATAAATATAATTGTCCCTATACATGATAAAAGCACCAGAGCTGGAACAAAGACATAAATACTGGACTTCAAACTTACAAAAAAAAAATCCTCCACACAGTTCAATCATATTCACAAATTTAAAATAAATGCACACATAAAATTAGCCAGCCATGTCCTGTAACAAAGACATAAATAATGGACTTCAAACTTACAAAAAAAAATATCCTCCACACAGTTCAATCATATTCACAAATTTAAAATAAATGCACACATAAAATTAGCCAGCCATGTCCGATAATTACTAATTACATATGAAAAATTGCCTATTATTAATCTCCAGGATCCTAATTAAACCTAAAAAAACAGTATTCGGTTTTAAAATGATATTTCTCAAGGAACTAGAGATACCTTCTCCGTTTCTTGGAGATGGGATCGTCAGCGCCAGCGTCATCATCATTATCATTGTTACTGGTGTTATTTTCGCTGTTATTGTTGTTGTCGTTGGCTTCTAATTCGTGAACCAGCTTCTCTTCCTCCTCCGGGGTAACAGGAACAGATTCATCGGAAACATTAGAATCTTTATCAGTTGCCACGTCAACGACCTCCGCACAAGGAGCAGGAGAATCAACAAGTATATCTGAAAAGAAATCGTCGAGCGATTGCTGATTCAGCGGCTCTAAATCGTCATCATTATCCTTCATTAACAAACTCTCGACCTCCGCCGCCCATGAAGATACCGAAACATCAGATGAGGGATTCGAGAAAGTCTCCACCGGTGATGGATCCGACAACTCCGAGAAAAGATCGTTCCAATCGATGTCACATTCGATAAAGACGTTATCTTCCATATCCATTTACTATCAAAAATAAAAACAAAAATTGAAAGAAAAATGAACAAATATAAGAAGAAGAAAGAAGACTATGGTTAAACCTACAGAGAATTATTTCGTTTCATAAATGCTCAAAGGCTGCCTAATATATCGGCAGTCTTTGACGCGTATTTAGTTCCTTTGTGAGCAAGCAAAAGACTACTTTACGGTAATTACCTCAATCGTTCCTGGTGCAGGTCCCACAGGCAACACATTAACACTTGATTACGTGGACCAATTAAAAACATTTCTTCACAGAATTAAGTTATTCCGCGTAACATGTGATCTATTAGACTGCGTTGCCGTCATTCGACCAATGAAAACACATTTAGTGGAGGATGAGAAGCGATCTGGGCTTTACACGTGCAACAATCCGGTCCCCTTTGAAAACTAAAATTAATTTCGAAGGTCGATTTTTTTTTTTTAATTTTAATTTTATTATTTTAACAAGCAGGTCGATTAATCTCTATAAGTGACCAACGGTCTTAGAAGGCAAAGAAGTTCAAACATGAGATTTTATGCCTTAATCACATATTCCAACACTCATCCTACCATTTGACATATCCGAGTTTGGATTTTGTTTGAATTTACATCAAATTAAAATCTAAATTTCTTTTTTCTTTTTTATTAAATAATTACAAAACAACAACGTTAAATTAGTGAAATCAAATGCCTTGAAGGGGATGATCGTACTTTGTTGTCGATAGAGAACTTCTTCATCCAAAAACATTCTTTTTATTCAATAACAAGACCCTTATAGAGTAGTATACTACTTTAGTCCCAGAGATTTGTCAAGTGTTGTGTTGTTGTATCACTTTTGCCTAAAATGCTCAATGTCGAATAGTACTTGCAACCAATTTCAAATACAATATAAGGTGCAGTCTTCACCTAGCATCCCATTAATTTCTGACAAATAAAATCAATTAAGCAATTAGGAATCAGGTTAAAATGTTGTCCAGCAATAAAATCTAGTGAAAAGATTATAGCTTAGGAGTTCAAATTTCATGCCCCAGGAGTAAGGCTATGAGCACTGACATTAATCATCAAACAGAATTTTCAAATATAACCAATTTGTAGGCAATGTAAATATACTTCCCAATTAATTACCAATACCCATAAACCATTTCTTAAACATTATCATTAGACAAAAGCCTGTCATTCACCCTAACTGAAAACTGGGTATCCAATAAATTTCCAGCATTATACTAGTGCATAGTGTGCTCAGAAGCTTGAATGATCCGGCTTACTGATCAGTAATGAATATGAAACAACACTTCCAGGACATAAAGATTGTCAAGAAAACAGAAAAGCTTTTCAATCATATTGAAAACTTTGAACTTTGAACAACCTGCCGCAAGGACTAATGGCTGGAGTCAATAACCATGAGGTGCCTACATTTGTCTACAGGGAAAATGATACAGTCACCAAAAAAGGGATACTGAATTCATGCACCGATAGACGTGACACCATCATGACCGTTGATTAATTATGAATTTTGTTTTTAAAAAAAAAAACAGATGGTGCCACGTCTTGTTCGGTGCGTGAATTCGGTATATTTTTCGGTAATTGTAGCATTGCTCTTGTCGACAGAAATTCACATAGTTCTTACCGAGGACAGAGTAAAAAACACAAGTACACATCACCGATGGCTAGTTCGACCAATTTAATGATGCGACATATTCTTGCTCTACCCACGATGATAACAAGAAAATTGAACTTGAACTTACTTCAGCAATTCACGTTAAAATAATCTTTCGCATCTATATAATGAAACAAAATCAGTTTACTTTCCCAGCCAAATTACACTTTCCTCTTAAATCATGAAAGAATCGAAGTACATGATTGAGACACTAAGTGATCAACTTCTTGTGTATTCTGACAAATTCTGTATTCAGCTTGTGCAACTCAGGAACAGATTTGACCCTAAAAGCTTTGCTTGAAAGAAAGAAAGAAAGAAAGAAACATTAGGGAAAAAAAAAGTATAAGATCATGAGGCCGAGCGCACGACCCAGCAATCATAAAACTGAAAATATATAGCAATTACACCGAATTCAAATCAGAATCATCATCACCAATTCTAACATTTTCATCTTTATATGATCAAATTTTCTTACGAACGACTCGAGTCTAGAGAATGTATTCCTTGCGCCAAAATTCTTGGGGATTTCAACTGCCATTCATTAGGTTTAGGTTGGCCTCAAATTTCAATACGCTCGCTGGATGTGCTCAAGTCAGCTCAACTAAACCAGCCACAGGATTTGTGGATCAGATTCTGGTCAAGTGAATTATTCAAGGTGATGTATTGTATCTTAATTTTTTCATATTGTCAGAAATCTCCAACAGGAACAAAATTATAAAATATTACCTCATGAACCCAAATAAGAAACTATCAATTTATCATACAAAAATAACTTAAAACGAAAGCCAGAGAACAGAGTTCTAAACACATCATGGTTCTTATTGACAGCACGGTTACTATACTGTAGCATTAAAACTGCTCCCTAATATTTTAACCTTCACATCCCTATAATAAAAGATTCGATAGGGGCACTAGTAAAGTACTCTCATGCCAAAACTCTAGGAATATCATCTCTCATTTTCATCTTTGTCCTTGAAGCTTGCATCTCCGAGATTTTAACACTGAGAATATCAAACCTTACTTCCTGCTCCTCTTGGAGGTAGATTTCCTGAGCTTTTCTTCCACGTTTTCTAGTGGAACCAACTCCAGATTTGTCTGGATTAGTGTGGGCAGGGTAAACAGGCACATGGTGCCCAGGAACCAAAGCGGGAACCCAACAGCAGGGATTCTGCAAATCAACAAAGAACAACAATAATCAGAATACCAAAAGATCACTGAATTAAAAGAAACACCTCAACGAAAGCCACGAACAGTGAACTGGTAACTAAATGAAACATAACTGGAATCATAATTTGGCAAAAGCTGTACAAACTCAGTACTCATTATTGAATAACAATGGTATCGGCTGTCAATAAAACATATTTAAAACCATGAACATGCAAATACTTTCCAATTTATTTATTCTTTATTATTATAATTTTGCATTTGGAAGAAAATGTGCTAAACAGAACATGTATGTGTAATAATGCCATATAATAAAGTTATATGTATTGCAGAATTACACAAGCCTGAGAAGAATCAGAATCAACCCTAAATTAATGCAATCAGCAGCAAAAGAGAACCGTGTATATATTTATCTGATAATCCATGAGCAAATAATCCAATAAAGATACTAATGACACAATAAGTATCAGAAATGAGCAAAAAGAAAAGGGAGATAATTCATGATTCATACCCAACAAGAGCCGGCAGACTCCTGCTTGGCCGAGGATGCACCAAATGCATTGCCTTTTGTAAAATAAGACGAAGAGCTTGATTCTCTGCAACAACACACTGAAGCAACCGCCCCAGTTCCTGCATTCACCTTCTAAGTACCTACTCTTATCTCAAGATCTTACAAACATCTTCTTCTCTCCCTGATTAACTGCTGCATCCCTATTTCCAACTGCCTGGAAAATCATATCAATTACCAAGCACCCTTTTAATCTCATTCCCATACAAATCAAAAGCATTTAATTTATCAAATTATACATATTGAATAAAATAATTGTCCATAAACATGATAAAAGCACCAAAGCTGGAAAAAAGACATAAATACTGGACTTCAAACTTACAAAAATCTCCTCCACACAGTTCAATCATATTCACAAATTTAAAATAAATGCACAGATAAAATTAGCCAGCCATGTCCGATAATATAATTACATATGGTGTCTATTATAATCTCCAGGATCTAATTAAACTAAAAAAGAGATATCTGTTTTTAAAATAGGCATCCCTTTACCTAACCCTCTCCACATGGGCATTTTTATCCTCTATTCGGTTGGCTAATTCCCATCCATCAACTTCAGCTTTAATTCCCTAAAACAGATGCTTGAAAATGACGAAAGTTTACTAGATAGATAGAGAATCAAAGGATAAAAAAAAAAATATTACACCAACCAGCAATTGGCACTGCAAAAGATGGCATTATGTGCAGCAATCATAAAACTTAAAAGGCAGAACGACTTACACCTACCTAAGGTTTGGAGAGCTAACAGATTAATATCTAATAGGTTTCAAAAAGATAAACAGGTATCTTCCGTTAGGGAAAAGACTATAATACCCTTTGAGAAATATTAGTCTATTTTTTTAATTACTTTTAGACCCCTTAAGTTTATTAATTCCATCAAATACCCCCAAAAAAAAGTTTAAAAATTAACAAAAACACCCTCATCTACTCATACGTGCCAGATTCTGGCGACCACCGCTGGTGGTAACCGGAATCTATCACAACGGTCTACACCACCACCGAAAATGGCAAGTAGTTCACCGATCTGGCCTTTTTCGGCCAGATCCACCACGGATATGGCCAAAAAAGACCAGATCTGGCCGTCGACGGCCGCAACACTCCTTCTTTGGCCGTCACTTTTCGGCCAGATCTGGCATTCTCACGTCAGATCTGGCCTTTTCCAGCCAGATCCACTGTAGATCTATCCGAAAAAAGCCAGATCGATAAATTACTGGCCATTTACGGTGGTAGCCGCCAGAATCTGGCAAGTATGGGTGAGTGAGGGTGTTTTTGTTAATTTTTAAACTTTTTCTGAGGGTATTTGATGGAATTAATAAAATTAAGGGGACTTAAAGTAATTAAAAAAATAGACTAATATTTCTCAAAGGACATTCTAGTCTTTTCCCTAATGAAAAGTACCTGTTTATCTTTTTAAAACCTTTTAGATGTCAATCTGTCGTTCCTCCAAACCTTGGATAGGTGTAAATCGTCTCCCCAAACTTAAAATATAATAGCAATTACACCTGAATTTCAAATCAGAATCATCATCACCAATTCTAACATTTTTCATCTTTATATGATCAAATTTTCTTACGAACGACTGCGAGGCTAGAGAATGTATTCCTTGCGCCAAAATTCTTGGGGATTTCAACTGCCATTCATTAGGTTTAGAGTTGGCCTCAAATTTCATACGCTCGCTGGATTGTTGCTCAACTACCAACCAGCCCAAGGATTTGTGGATCAATTTGGTCAAGTGAATTATTCAAGGTGATGATTGTA